TATGCTCCTTTTGGGCAATGGAGGAATTTACTATACATTTTATTTTTTTATATTAGCCCCTGTCTTCTATGCCAGAAAGTTCACAGACCTTAAAAAAACAGAGGAACTACAGTAGTGAGAGTAGCTGTGACAGCAGCAGCAACACATCAGAATGGGAGGAGGAAACTGAAAAGGAAGATCACAATGAGAAAAAAGAGATGAAAGTGTCATATGAGCTTGAAGAAAACAAGTATAAATTATTAGAGCGATCCAGTAAGTGAATGATCATAATTTTGATTAAATCTAATGTGCACAAAAATCAGATAAGATATTCCTGTGCTGCAGAACTTAACAGTGACAAAGTCTTTATGCCTGAAAATTGATCGTCTGAACCTTGGCACTAGACCATCTGGATTCACAAATTAGCTTGTTTAATTCTTCTTCTTTAAAACCCAGTTCCAACTTGATAGAAAAGCTGGATCAAAATAACCTATGCATGACTTGCTGCCAGGTTACTACGTACTAAAGAAAAGGATGAACATTAGCTACCATTGGATGTGTTGTGTATGCGCCTCTTTGTTTTCATTACTTCTGACAAAGTTGCCATCGAATTTATTCTTCGTTGTTGTTGTTTTTAATTTCTGTTGAACATGATTTTGTTGGGAAATAAAAAAATCTATCTAAGGAAGTGCAGAAGGTAAGATTTATAGATGGGTCACTCTCCAGGTAAATAAGAAGAACAATAGCTAGACAGTGTAACATTGAATATTAAAGTGCTGACATGGTTTGTACAATATGTTATTTGTGTTTTGTAGTATACAGTTTAGAAGTATTGCATCGAAATTGTCATTATATAGCAATGTAGTTATGTTTGCATATGGTACTGCTGCCAAAAATTGTTTTGTAACAGAATCTTATTTTTATTATGGGCTGCAGAAGGCCTAGAATGTAGAGGATCAGTGTAGTTCTGCTGTCCAGAAAAGCCAGAGTCCCTACTCCCTTCCCCCAAATCCTCTGCTCACATTCCATCTTACTGAACCACAAGATGCATGCACCCTTTGACAAATTTATTGTACATGGGAGAGGATTTGAGCCTAACTGAAGAAGACTGATTTGGGGGCAGGAATGGGTACTTTTATGGGTTGCATAAAGCATTTATTACTGGAGAACCGTATAATTTCCAATAGACATGTTCTCTAGTCAGTAATGACAGAGGAATGTACAGTAAATGGACGGAAAGTAATTATATCCTGCATTGTCTTTGTCTTCAGGCAGATTACACTGGAAACCTTTAATTAAAAATATAAAAACTCCATCATATTCACCCTCCACATCATCCACAGGTCCTATAAGGCGTTCTGTAAGCTGTCCCCGTTCAATATCAATCTTCGCTATGCAGTCACAAGCCGCTGAGCAACGTCCCTTTTCAGCCAAACCTGCAGTGCAAATGCCACGTCCGTCGTCAATGAATAGGTCCCATTCTTTAAATCGTAATTCATCTTCAGTCAGAATGTGTAATACTGCTAGTCTGGGCACAGTACACTCTTCAGGGGTAAGTTAATAAAAACACCACAATGTGTTTTATTTATCTAAAAAGTGCATTGCAGTATTGCTTTGTGTAATACTGCTTCAATAAGATTTTGAATTTCTTTCAACACAGTACTGTCATCATCTTGGTGTATAATATTAGTTTTCCTACTACATTACTAGTTTTCTTGATACAATGTCAGAAATCCTGAGGTACTGAAGTAGCTTGTGTTTTAATAGAATCTCAGGAGTATTGGACTGCTACACCTTTATGTTCCTTAAAATTAGCTCTTGCAGTGATTCTTTCATGTTTCCAGTGCATCCATTAGATTGCAGCCCTGCAAACACCACAACTTATGGGAAAGGACTTCTTAGTCTGTGCCCTTGTGACTGAGAATCCTGAGCTCCAAACACCCTTCCTGCACTATGTCTAAAAGATGGAAGGGTTTTCTATTCTCCAGGACAGGCTGTGTGAATGATTTGGAATTATTGATTTCCCAAACAATATAAGGGCTTATCTACCTAAGAATTTTTACACTGGCAGAACTATGCTGGTGTTTCAACATCAGTATAAATCCCCTACATTGCATTGGAGTAAAGCAGGGCTTGCATGAGTAAGACTTAGGCTATATCTTCCCTGCAACAAGAGGTATGTGTATACATTGAGAAACCTATCTTGGTATAAAAACCTAGTTGACAAGGTAAAGCTAGTTTTAAACTCGATGTAGCTAGCTGAGGTAAAATCTATACCATCCACTCCTGGGATTTACCTCAACCAGCTATATAAAGTTAAAAACTACAGGACCTTGTCTCTGTTAGGATTTTACATTGAGATAACTAATTTCAATTAGCTGTCTCAGTGTAAAAAACACACTCCCCCCTCCCCCACCAATGAAGACAAAGCTTTTCCCCATTTTGAAATGCATCCCTAAGTAGACAAGCCTTAAAGCCCAAGTGGCCTAATTAAAAACAAGACGTATTTAAGAATAAACGGAAGATCAGATTAAAAGAGTTTTCACCACATATATAGTTTTACACGTGGCAGGAATTAAGATAGGTAGGTTCATTGTTTTTTTTGTGGTTTGTTGCAGTGTAGTAACAGCCTTACAGTCCTAGAGTTGGATTTCTCCCCTCTCTGTCCAGCCTATCTGAGATCATCCTCTTTGGTTTCTCCTTTCACAGGTCCGTTATTCCTTACAGGTTTCTGTGATGTGCTGTATGCCCCACGCATGCCAAATCTGTCCCCAAATTAATTCAGGAGTATATTAAGTGCTGTAGCTAAACCATTTCAATTCCTGTTTTCCAGTCCCCTTTATATCTTATCACCCCCAAATAATCCTTTGGAGATATGTCAATTAAAATGGGCACTTTCAGTCCACATATTCAATCGCTCTCCCCATCAGAGGAATGTCTGTTGTTGTGAGAAATTATTTTGGGATGCTAATTAACCTTTCTAACATTTGCTCACCCTAACCAAAAGATTTAATTTGGCAAAAAGCTCGTTACCTGCTGCCTCTGAGGCTCTTTAAAAAAAAAAAAAAAGGTTCTTTTTTTAAACTGAGTTAGCTGATGTGATGTAAAAGATCCCTGACCATCTTTTGTACATACAGTTTAACAACTTTAAATTCAGCTAACAGGATTATAAAGGTATTAACCTGTGTCTACAGACAAAGTGTTAAGAATGTTTCCCTTCACATTAGCTAATTCGAGGTTAAAAAAGCTCCTTTTTATCATGAAGACATACCCTGAGAATTTATTGTTACAGGGCTAGTATAGACTTCTCTCTTCACATTAATTCTGATCTATATCAAATACAAATTACTGAGAGATTAAAATGAGTCTGTCACAGTATGCCACTGAAAATGAGCTACTCACTTAAATAAACATAAGTAAGAAACCAGATTTACTTTTTCATTGAGAAAGCTTCAACTACTGGCAGAGATCTTGTATTACAGAATATCCTTGTTTCTGTGACAAAACTGGGGTCATATTCCTTAAAATAATGCAAATAAAGTTACTTACAGAATAGCAGTGGGAAAGATTTAATTATAACTTTATGGACTGAGTTCCATGCACAGTACTGTATGATTTTTTTGCAACCAAGTATAATATACTGCATATTGCTGATAGAGTAAAAATTAAAAGGGATCATCCATAACTTTTTAGTATGCTCAGAATAAATTATTTGGAAAGTGTATGTTTATCAGCCCTTTGAGTAGTGAGAAGAAAGTATGTTTTTAGTGATTTATATTACCATTAATTAGATTGATTTAAAAACCAAATGCATAAAGATATGGCACCTAAATATGGAAAAAAACCTATACTTGAGCTATAAACCCAGAATTATAAATAGAAATAAACAAGAGGAATTAGATGCCTCTTTATTTCAGAGCCAAATTATTATATATTATATGGCAACATTAGTTTGTTAAGCTTTAAAGTATCTATCACTTAATTCAGCCAAGAAAAGCCCTAAGAGAATAAGGGCTGTACTTCTCTCAAAATCCACAGATGTTAGAAAGCCTGGAAATTCTAAATTAATGTTCAACTTTTAACAAATAGAAAATCAAGCCCCATCCCAAGCCTCCAAACGTTCTGAAGTATGCAAAAGCAAAGTTATGAAATATCTATCTATCTATATCTATCTATCTATCACAAACAACCTTAATTCTGCCCCTATAGCACCATCCTGAGGGAACTAGAACATCTTAGACAATCTTAGCCATCTGTCATACAGGTTCATCTCAATATTGATCAAAAACATTCATAACTTGAGATTGAAATCCTGCCCCCATGAAGTCAATGGCAACACTTTTATTGACTTTAGCAGGATTTCACTCTTTAATTTACGGAACCTGTGCATGGAAGTTTGGTATGATTTCTTTCATTTGATTGGCAACTTGTGCTCAATTGAGATGCAGGACTGGATAGCAAGGGATGTCTCAGCTCATATTGGAGGTGCAGTGGTAGAGTTCTGTGAGGTTGTTTGTTAGTGGCTGCATAGAGAATCCTCTTTGCGCATAAAATAATAGTTAAATTTAAATTTGTTGTGTTTCAACTGTATATTTTAAATGGGGTATATCATAAATATATAGCAGATTTTGCTCATCTGTCTGAAACAAATTTACCTTCAGACTTCACTTCTCTTGCAGTGTTTTATAAGTTCTAGTCAATACTTATATATGTTAATGTACACATAAAGTGTATGTATTATATACCTATACCATTTACATTCTTTTTAAAAAGTCTATTTATTTTCCTCTGTTTGGGAATAAATATTTTTTTACCATGAAAATATCTTTCATATAAAAGATACACATGAAATCACTAACTCTATACTAAATCAAGTCCATATCAATTTTTGAATGAGTCTTTGCTTCAACAGAGAACAAAAGAGCAAGAAGAGGCATTGACAAGAGAGACACTGGTCATTTTCAATGATATGAGGATCAAGTTCCCAGGAAAAACAGATGAAGAGGCAGAATTAATTATAGAAAATGTAAGTATCTATCAATGAGGAAGATGCATCACAGGACACTTATTGTTTTATATTAAGACCCTACGAACTTGGGAAAATAAAATATACATTTAATGATTCATGAGCTCCTGTGGCCTTAGAGCTCATGGAATCCATAGATCAAAGCATTCCAAAAGCTCAGATTTCTACATTCTACCTGATCTTAAAAGAACAACACAAATCATTCTTAGGACTCTCTCAAATGTGACAAACCTTTATAATTAGGAAGTTTGAGTAACTTAAGTTTATAATTGTGGAGGTTTGTCCTGTTAAAGTTCAAACTTTTAAGTAAGCAAAGAAGAATGTTACAATTAATTAATAGTTATGTTTCATAGAATGTGACTACGGATTGTGACATGTTTATCACTACCCCTGAATAGGCATGCTAAGGAACTAAGAAAGGTATGCAATAAGGCAGGGGTCGGCGACCTTTCAGAAGTGGTGTGCTGAGTCTTCGTTTATTCACTCTAATTTAAGGTTTCGCGTGCCAGTAATACATTTTGACGTTTTTAGAAGGTCTCTTTCTATAAGTCTATAATATATAACTAAACTCTTGTTGTATGTAAAGTAAATAAGGTTTTAAAAATGTTTAAGAAGCTTCATTTAAAATTAAATTAAAATGCAGAGCCCTCCGGACGGGTGGCCAGGACCCGGGCAGTGTGAGTGCCACTGAAAATCAGCTTGCGTGCCGCCTTCGGCACACGTGCCATAGGTTGCCTACCCCTGCAATAAGGTGAAGTAGAAGCCTGAGTACAAGTGCCAGGAATACCATTTGCATTCTTGCTGGCTCCTTCAGTTTGCCAGCTTGGCTTTTCCTTTTATCTAACATTCTTCTGAGCCTTAGTAGTTGGCGTGAAACAAAGAAGAATATGAAAGGAGGTGAAAGAATAAGAGATGAATACTGTGCTTGATGCTAAACAGTAAAGGGGAATCTTAAAAGAAAATATACGAAATATGAAGAGATACTAGGAGAGACAAAGTGCAGATTGGAAAAACATTGAAAATGCCGACGAGCAAAGAAATAAACATCAGTTTAACAATGAAAAAAGTAAATAGCAATGTTGTGTTCTGCTCTTTGTCTGGCAAAGGTGTAACATACACATGTTAACATGTCGCAGATTAAACCAAATGTATCCTGGTTCAGTCAGGGGTCCACTTGCAGGGGAACTGAGCAGCTTTCATTGTTATTGATAGGGGCTGCACAGGCAGTTTTCTTTGTTATGATGAAGATGTATGCAAAGCTCTTCCTGACTCCAGACACTATCCATTTGGAAATGTCCACTGCCTTCTGGGCCATGCAAATCCTGAATGGCCATTGATACTGGCTCCATATAGTAATCCAGCCTCTCTGAGAGGGCAAAGATACCCCACAAACTTGTATATAAAAGAGAGATTTCTGAAACAATTTTTTAAAACTTTTTTTGGGGGGGAAATTTCAAAATTTCCAGTTTTCCTTCTGAAAACAAAAACTTTTTCAAAATTTCTGAATTTCAAACAGAATGGAAATTCTGAGTTTGAACGAGCTCTACTGACTATAGCTCCAGGACCTAATTCCTGTGTGTGACCCAGAAGCACAGGCGTCAGACAAACCTTGGTCAATCTATGGGTAGGGCCCTATCAAATTCACAGCCATGAAAAACACGTCACGGGCCATGAAATCTGGTCTCCCCCCGTGAAATCTAGTCTTTTGTGTGCTTTTATCCTATACTATACAGATTTCACAGGGGAGACCAACATTTCTCAAACTGGGGATCCTGACCCAAAAGGGAGTTGCAAGGTTATTTTGGGGGGGAGTGGGTGTTCATGTTATTGCCACCTTTACTTCTGCACTGCCTTCAGAGCTGGGCTGCCAGAGACCAGTGGCTGTTGGCCAGACGACCAGCTCTGAAGGCAGCGCCCCGCCAGCAGCAGTGCAGAAGTAAGGGTGGTGATACCATATCATGCCACCCTTACTTCTGTGCTGCTGCCTGCAGAACTGGGAAGCTGGAGAGTGGCAGCTGCTGACTGAGGGCCCAGCTCTGCAGGCAGCAGTGCAGAAGTCAAGGTGGCAATGCCATACCATGCCATCCTTCCTTCTGCGCTGCTGCTGGCAGTGGCTCTGCTTTCAGAGCTGGGCTCCTGGTCAGCAGTCGCCGCCGCTCTCCAGCTGCCCAGCTCTGAAGGCAGTGCCGCCACCAGCAGCAGCACAGAAGTAAGGGTAGCAGTACCACAACCCTCCCCCAAATAACCTTGCAAGCCCTCCACAACTTATTTTTGGGTCAGGACCCCTACAATTACAACACCTTGAAATTTCAGATTTAAATAGGTGAAATCATGAAATTTACTATTTTAAAAACCTTATGACCATAAAATTGACCAAAATGGACCATGAATTTGGTAGGGACCTATCTACGGGCCATCCGAAAAACAAAATTCCCTGGTATGTGTGGGGCCTCGCCTAATTCTTGATCACTGAAGAGGAGCGCAAGGCCTGTTATGCCAATTGCTGTGATAGGAAAGGCCCCCTTTATAGCCTTAATTTGAGAGCTCCCTTTGTTCCTAATTGCTATTTGTGGTGTATGTGAGTAAGTATGCAAAAATTCAGCTTGATAGGCTCCTCTTTTCTCCCTGGATAAGCTGTGGAATGCGGCTGTGAGCCTGAGAGACTTTTTGAGCCACACGGTTCCTTTAAAACATCTTCATTGACTGTACAGCATAGCTAGCGAAGAACCTGCCTTCTACATTAAGTGAATCCCTATAACATGATTGCCATATGCCTAGCGTCAAATAGGCTGGGTAAAATCTCTGGCTTTGCTCCTGGGAAATTGGTTCACTTGGGTGATAATACTGGGTAAAATTTTCAAAAGCACTTCAGTGATTTAGGAGCCTGAGTCCTATTGAAAGTCAATGGGACTTAGGCTCCCTAGTGACTTAGATGCTTCTGAAGCATCTACCTATAATGTCTAAACCAGCTTTGAGCCAAACTGGCTCTCGGTTATTCCCAAGGCCTTTTCCAGCAGTCAGTGATTACCAAGGTAAAGGAGTGCCACATAACTGCCTCCATTCCCCTGTGAACACCCTTATACTGTGGGTTCAGAAGAGGGTGACATAGGGGCTGCAACAGTGGCTCTGCATCACTGGATCCTCTGGTAGCCAAATCTACCAGTTTTGGGTCTGTTCTAACTGATCACAGAATCTGGCCCTTCAAAGGGAGTTTTGCCTGGATAGGAACTGAGGCATAACTGGAATAATTCACTCATAGGTTTCTCCCCCTAGGCTATTTGTTTTCTAGACTTCGAACTAAAGTAAAATGCTTCTTCAACATTTTCTTCAAAATGTACTCCATCTAGTGGCATGTCCTGATATAACATTAAGCATGACAATATGCTTCCTTATTGCAAAGTCCTCTGTAAGGCCACTTAACAAACTTCTCTGGGAAAATAAGAATCTCAAGGTTGGAAGAGGTCAGATAACAAAGTGATGGTGTGTTAAATGACTTTGAGGCAAAATTGTTAATAGATACTGATCTGGAATACAGCCAAAGGTGCAGAATAGCAAGACATTTAAAAGATATGTTAATAGTTCATTAATATTTAGATGTAACCAAGGAAAAATAAAAATACATTAGGAAGGGTATTTTAAAGTTACATCTAATGACCTACATGAAGCACAAAACTTCATATTTACCAGAATAAACAATGGTTATATAATATTGAACTCTGTGCCCACCCCCGTGCTTTTGCTTGCACTGCTAGAATGGCATGATCAGGTAGAACAGGGGCCAGGATTTGGCGTAAAGTCATTACCTCTTTTCCTAAATTTGAAGACACTCTTCCATTTCTTATAGAGAATTAATTTATTTTTTACACAAAATACTGGGATTGTTTTTAAACGATTAAAGTATTTTACCAATGTAATATTTTTGCTGGAAATGTCAGATTCCACTCTTTATAGATGTTTGTTTTTATCTTTTGTTTTTCAACTAATTCAGATTATGGATAATTGGAAATACCATAAAACAAATGTGGCTTCATATTGGCTGATAAAACTGGACTCTGTTAATCAACGAAAGGTGAGTGATGCACACTTCAGCCTTTGAAAATGTTATTAAGTAGTGAACATGCACTTAGAAGTGACTGCCATGGAAAAGTTTGAGATGTCAGAATATGGGCCACCGTGTGTGTTCTTATGTCAGTGACACCACTGTATATACAGAATAATTCCATTGCAGTTAATGGTGTTAGTTCATATTTATACCAGTGTAACTAATTTCAGAATCTGGCCATTGGATAAGATTTCCAAAACCAGGTGTTTAAAGTTAGGTAATTGTTCAGTAGGAGGAGTTGTATGTGCACCATTCTTGAGAATATGGTTACTCGTTTAGGAGCCTACATATGGATTGAGGTGCCTAATTTTGGGTACCAATTTTTTAGTATCTTAGTGTAGAATTGTATGCATAGTGCCAGGTGTTATTTGGAGTATACCTTGCACAGCTCATGTGTGGTTGCAAGTCAACATGTGGGGGAGAGAGAGGTCTTGCAACTGGAGGGTCAATAATGTGAGCCTGTGGAAAAAATGATTGTTAGAACAGTAAACAGTAGAGAATTGTCACTTCTAGTACAAAGAAGCCTGTGAAGCAAACTCCTTCTCCCACCCCCCAAAAGAAAAGAAGTAAATATAGCTATCGGGTGTCTGAGTTGTCTGAGTCTGAATTTGGCCCTTTGAGTGTAATATCTTAGCAGATGGCTTGTTAATGACATGGCAGTGAATTGGAGGTAGAGCTACAAAGATTAACAATGTTGTAATCTTCAATTGAATTTACAAATACTGGTAATTATTCCTCTTCTTTTGCCAAATAGTTTATTCCCACGAAAGATTAGTATTGCTTGTCATGCTTTCTCCAGTTCACAGAAGTAGTACATGGGTACTGCTCTTGTTTATAGTGTGCTAATGGCTTCATTTTTAATCTCCATTTTTTAAAAAATGGACATATTTTAGTCAATCTCGGCTTTGTAAACCAGTATCTCTTTTCCTTAAAATAGCTGAAATTTGATTTGGGAATAGGTGAGATGGTGTCAGTATATCACTGGACTGGGAGTCAGGAGATTTGGATTCTCTTTCCGCCCTTGAAAAGAACTTGCTGTCTGACTTTGGGCAAGTCACTTAACCTGCTATGTACCTCAGTTTCCCAATCTATTTTTTTTTTAAGAAAACAGTAGAAAGCACTTTGAGTAAAATGCTTAATATATAATATGTATTGTTGTTAGGAAGGGTGAAACATCATTATAAAGGAACAGGAGAAATAGGTTGTAACCACATTTCAGATTGCCCCTACAAAATCTGCAGTCTCGTGTTCAAATTTTTTAATCTCTGTAGCGCTGAATACTACATTAAACTACTGCTCTGTTTTTGGATCTGGGCACAGACAAGCTGCTATAAAGAAAACTTGTCCATTGTGATGTGATGTAATTGACCATTTGACCTCAAGTTCATACGTTAGATGGAAGATTTATGCATACAGTTTTATAAAACTGGCATAGCTGTATAGAGACAAAGACATGATGAGAACTTGATAATGCAGGTTAGCTGTGAACTTAATTAAAGGTCTTTTGCAATTATATAAACTGGCAACATAAATCCACATTTCTGCAAAGATTTTTTTTAAAAAGCATAGAGTGCATGTATTGTAGTAGTAGTAGTAGTAGCAGTCACCATTGATTGATTGAGACTGAATTATTTTATTATTTGACAGCTACTGGTCCCTCTGCTGAGTACCCTTTGCTAATGATTATCTCTTACATGTTTGTAATGCACTGGGGAGGGTCATTACCCCAAGATCCAGTGCATAGACCTACTCCATCCTTTGCAGTAGGGGCGCTCGGCTGCCTCAGCAGCACTCTTCCCCATCTTTCACCAAACCCGCAGAGGCCTCTCTGCTGATCTGACAGTTGGAGTGGTGGGTTATAGGAAGAGCGGGAAGATTTGTCATGACCCACAGGTCTCAAACCTGGGCCTGCAAGATTTATGGGAGCAGCCACTCTCCAACCCTCCGCCTTGCAACCTGCTAGCAATAGCTTACCTGAGACTTACAAAGCCCAGCCCCTGCGTGAGGTCCAGTTGTGGAGTCCCAAATTGGCTGATTGGCCTGCTGGCCCTATGTAAGCCAGCAGCAGGAACAGGAAGTTGTCCAAACAACTGGGCTCTGAACTGTGGGACATGTGCCTCCTGCACCCTGCTTAGGGTTGCCAGGCACCCGGTTTTCGACTGGAACGCCCAGTCAAAAAGGGACACTGACGGCTCCGGTCAGCACTGGTCAGCGCCATTAAGGCCTTGGCTACACTTGCGAGTTACAGTGCAATAAAGCCGCCCACAGCGCTGTGCCTCACTCCCCATCCACACTGGCAAGGCACGTACAGTGCTGTGTCTCCCTGGCTACAGCCCTGCAGGTACTCCACCTCCCCGAGAGGAATAAGAGATGCAGCGTAGTGGCTACAACTCCCGGGTGTCAGTGTGAACGAGGAGTTAACTTGCTGCGCTGTGATAATCCCCTTATCAAGTAGCCACTCTTTTCATTGTTGTGATCTGCTCCAGGAATGCAGAAGTGCCCTTTCAAAGCTCCCTACCAGAGAGAAAAAGCAAAGATTTTGCTGTTTGCTTTGAGTGAGTGAATGAGAAGCGGGGGCGGGGGGGGGACAGAGGGGTCGGAACTTGCAAGGCAGGGTGCTGACACACTCTCAGCACCCCAAAACCCACTCTCTCTCCCCCCACACTCCCTGTCACACTCCACCCCCCCCTTTTGAAAAGCACATTGCAGCCACATGAATGCTGGGATAGCTGCCCATAATGCACCGCTCCCCATGCAGCTGCAAATGTGGCCACGCCAGTGCGCTGTCAGCTGTCAGTGTGGACAGACTGCAGCGCTTTCCCTACTCAGCTGTACGAAGGCGGGTTTAACTCACAGTGCTGTACAGCTGCAAGTGTAGCCATACCCTAAGAGTCCGTTCAGCAGCGCAGCAGGGCTAAGGCAGGCTCCCTGCCCGGCTCCCAGATGCAGCTGGCATGTGCTCCCTCCGGCTCCTAGGTGCAGAGGTGGCCAGGGGGCTCTGCATGCTGCCCCCGCCCCAAGTGACAGCTCCGCAGCTCCCATTGGCTGTGGTTCCTGGCCAATGGGATCTGTGGGGGTGGCGCCTGCAGACGGGGCAGTGCGTGGAGGTCCCTGGCCCTTCCCCCTAGGAGCCAGACATGCCAGCCCCTTCCAGGAACGACCTGAGGTAAGTGCCGCCTGGAGCCTGCACTCTGCACCCCCTCCCACACCCCAATCCCGTGTCCCAGCCCTGAGCCCTGTCCTACACCCAAACTCCCTCCCAGAGACTGCACCCTCTCCCACACTCCGAACCCCTTGGCCCTAGCCCAGAGCCCCCTCCTGCACCCCAAATACCCTCATTCCTGGCCCCGCACCAGAGCTCGCACCTCCAGCCGGAGCCCTCACTCCCCCTCGCAACCCAATCCCCAGCCCTGAGCCTCCTCCCGCACCCTGAACTCCTCATTTCTGGCCCCACCCTGGAGCCCACACCCCCAGCTGGAGCCCTCACCCCCTCCCGCACTCCAGCCCCCTAAACCCAACCTGGTGAAAGTGAGCGAGGGTGGGGGAGGGGATCGAGTGAGTGGGGGTAGGGCCTCGGAGAAGGGGTGAGGGTGGGGCAGCGGGCGGGGCAAAGGTGTTCGGTTTTCTGCAATCAGAAAGTTGGCAACCCTAACCCTGCTCCTGCTTGATTTTTCTGGCAATCCAACCTGGCTTGACTCCTGACATCTGACTTGTGGTTCCTGACTTCATTTGTTTCCTGCCCGTGACTCCCTGGTATCCTCACCTGCCCTGACTCTGGTCTCTGACTCGTGGTTCTGATCTTCAGATTGTCTCTTGCTTCTGATCTCCCTGTATCCCAACCTAGCTGACTCTTGACTCCTGTCTCATAACTGCAGACTCTGGCTCTGACTACTAGGTCTGGCCGCGTATGACCTTGTCGTGACAAGATTGCACATTATCCTCCCTTCAGTGGAGCGTACAGGAAAAAGATAATGGAACCCAGACCCCAGACTTTGCAGTCTTCTCTGAAGTGGAGATCCCTTTTGCAGGGGAAGGTCAGGTCCCCGGGGCAACTGTACCTATTGGGCTTCAGGAAGTGGGCGGGCGTAAGCCCGCCCACTGCTAAAGGGTCCCCCCCGCCTAAGGGGAGGATCCACAGGGCCTGAAACTCAAATAATTAAGGGGGACAACTAATGTAAAAACAGGGACAGGAGTGCGGTCAAAGGGTCAAAAGAAGGGAACCTGACGGGGACACCGAGCAGAGAACCCCGGACAGCGTCCACTGCTCCTCAAAGGTGTCAAGGGAGCTAGTGGACGCCGCCCAGAGGAACTCTGCCCGGATACGTGAACGGACAGAGGATCGGAAACAGGCCCCACAGTCACAGGAACCTCCATCGGCCAACCTCCTCTCCCTGGTTTTATAGATGGCCTGTTTAGCCAGGGCCAAGAGGAAGTTGACCAGGAGGTCCCGTGACTTTGTGGGGCCACGGATAGGGAGTGCATAAATGAGAAGGTGAGGGGAAAAGTGTAACCAAAAACGCAACATAATGTCGGTGAGGAGCCGGTGTAGGGGCTGCAACCTGGCACACTCTAAGTAAACGTGAGCCAGGGTCTCCCTCACGCCGCAGAAAGGACAGGTGTCTGGGACAGGGGTAAACCGTGCCAAGTACACGCCCGTGCTCACGGCCCCATGAAGGAGCCACCAGCTGATATCCCCGGCGGGCCTCGGGACCAGGGTGGAATAGAGGCTGGCCCACCGGGGCTTCTCACCCTCAACAGGTGGCAGGAGGTCCCGCCACTTCGTATCGGGGCGGGACACGAGGGTGAGGAAGTGAAGAGTGTGGAGCACGAGCATGTATAGATGTTTCCTTGGCGTGGTCAGGAAACGAACCGGCTGCAAATCGTGCAGCCGGCTCATGGAGAAGGGGCGGGGGGGGGCGGTTGGGTCCACGGGGCAGGGGCCCGATAAAAAGGTCCGGAGGACCAGGGGTGGAGGGTGGGCGGGGCGTGTCCTCGCGCAGGACCTGGTCGAGGTAGACCCGAGCAGCGGGCGGCAAAGCGGCCCTCACCTCCTGAAGTACACGCCGGGGAGTACAAGGCCTGGAGAGCCCCATGCGCCGAGCGAGCATCAGGGGATCTAGCCAGACTCCCCGGTTGTAGTCCAGGAGGTCTCCGACTCTAGTGACATCTGCCAGGACCAACCTCTGGTGCACCGCGGGGGACTCCGCCACCTGCACACGAAGCTGGGGGTTGTGTAGCAGGGGCTCCGCGAGGAGATCTGCCCCCCCGGTGGCCGCCACGGACCTGGTCGCTGAGAACAGGTTCCAGGTCCGGAGGAGGTCCTGTTAGAAGACCGGCAGCCCGGAGAGGTCTCGCGGAAGACCTCTCGGATCGAGATAAAAGAGCTGCCGGTCGTATTGGAGCCCTCGGAAGCGGCGCAGGAAGGCGTGCGCTAGTACTCTCCATTCCGGGGCAACTGTAGCTAGGAAGAGTCCTTGATAGCATAGATCTTTTGAACCTAGGCTGCTAGAAGTAGAGGGAGCGGACATCAGCTGGGGGGTCAGAGCTGCAGCAGAGATGTGGGTTCTCTGCACGGAATCTTGGGGATTCTCTTTCATCTATCCCAACAAGGTTATCCCTTAAAAAAAAAAAATGGGAAGGAATCTCCATGAAGGGAAACACTGGCAGAGGGCACAACCCCCTCTTGTGGGGTGAAGGGAGTGCTTAGACCTGATATGGTGTCACCACTCCAATATGTTAACAGGTATCTCAGACTGGGAATACTATTTCATTGACCACACCGTTTTCAATTGCCCCTGGGTTTTTCTTCTTCTTCTACTATAAGAGATTCAGCCATCCAGTTTAGCTGTGGCTTTATCACTCCAGCTGGTTTGTCCCCTGTAACTGGTGTTTTAAAAAGCATGCTAGTGGGTCCTGTGCTTTCTTTGACTGATGCTTGTGTGGCACCCAGGGCATGTACAGTATGTCAGGATAAGACACTAGGTCATTAATATAAAATGCAGTACTGAAAATGTGGATTTCTTTCTTCATGTAACGACAGCTTTGATGACTTAGGAGACTAATACTACCTGAAGCATTGGTGTGCTCTTGATATTTTGGCAGCAGGGGAAGTGATTTGCTCTATGTTTCTCTACCTTTTTAACCTCAACCCCTTCAAGCAATCAGATAGGGAAGTAGTTATACAAATGGCTTACCTTGGAGATTGACATTGCAGCTAAGGATATCCAAATGTGATATATGAGTACAAAGCTTTAGTGGATCTGAGAGCAGAGTGTTTTATATTCTAGCAGGGTTGGGGTGGGGATGAGGGGGTGGGGGGGTAAAAGCAAAAAAAGAACCAGAGTTAAAGAATATTTCTGAAAGTATAAGTATGTAGTTCAAAAGCAGCTCTGCAATTATATGAAGTTTAAAACAAAAACTCGGACTATGCGCTCTGGGATTACTAGGAAATTCCAGAATACGGGAAGGAAATATCCACCAAATATGCTAGGTTTTCAGAATGTCTATCCCCAACAGGTATATCTTCTCAATGATTTCTCCACTCTTGTTCTGGATAAATACAAACACCTGTACATAGCCATAATCTCTAACATCAATCAGCGATGCGTTCCAAGGACCATTTAGCAGCTGTATTACCTCAGCTTGCACAATTTCTGCTGTTTCCACTGCTGGCACACTGTCTTTGACTGCTCAGTTTATTCACCCCCTTGTTCTGTTACGTCTAGATGATTTGTTGTGTTAGTGTAAAAGAAAAGGACATTTTCATTCTGCACAGGGAAATTAATTTGGTTGGAGCTAAATGGCTGTGCCCTTGTGCAGTGCCTGAAAGTTCTTATTTGGGTGCTGCTCCCTAGAAGTATTCATTGTCGGCCTACATGCACTCAATGTGCCCGAGCCCAGAAGACTCTTCAATAGCAACGGTCATTGGTGTAGTAAAAAGACAAAGGTCATCTTACCATGACTAAATTCTCTGCTTGGTAACTCCCTTGTCAGGTATCTTAGGGTTTGGATACCATCTTACTTGCTGAGCAGTGGGGGCATCTCCTTTCAGAAAATCACTTTAACAGGCTTTATTCTGTGTGATGCTGTAGGCATTTTGGGGTCTTTTTGCTTTTGGGTGAAATTTGCCTCTGTTCAGCACAAGGCCTATATCAGTGATGGGCAACCTGTGGTCCGCAGGCTGCATGTGGCCCTTCAGGGTAATCTGATTGCGGGCCGTGAGACATTTTGCTGATGTTGACTGTCCGCAGGCATGGCCGCCCGTAGTTCCCAGTGGCTGCGCTTTGCTGTTCCCAGCCAATGGGAGCTGCAGGAAGCGGTGGGCCGCAGGAACTTGCTGACTGCCGCTTCCCGCAGCTCCCACTGGCCAGGAACGGCGAAGCGCGGCTACTGGGAGCTGCGGGAGCCATGCCTGAGGATGGTCAACGTCAGCAACATGTCTCACGGTCCGCAGTCAGATTACCCTGATGGGCCACATGAGGCCCGCGGGCCGCAGGTTGCCCACCACTGGCCTATATACTACTAAAATCACACTTACGTTCTCAGAAAACATGTTACAGGCAGTATCTAATAGCCGTGATTTAGCCCACATTCTATGCTGCAATTCTACACCAATATATCCATACACAACTCCCATTTAATTCAATGGGAGTTACACAAGTGTATCGGAGAGCAGAATTGGGCATCATGTTCTAATGAGCTACTTCCTACTCCATAGTCTACTGATGTATGTATGTATGCATGGAAGAAAAAACATGAGACATCGAGCTAAGATGTATACTAGGCTGAGAGACCAACTTATACACTGTGCAAAAATGTCCAATTTTCTTCTTTCTCCCCACAAACAGTATTCAGATTAACAATGTATTACATTTTTAAAAAGCATTTCCTTTTCAAATGTCTCTTAATGCTGATTTTTCTTCAATGCTATGACATACTATTTCCTGCATAAAAGCCAGTCTTATTAGTGTCTTATGGTTTGACTCTGAGCAGGGCTAAGCACCTGCAACTCACACTGAAGTCAGTGTAGACTGTGGGTGCTCAGCTCCTCTCAGGATTATTCTTTTATGAAGTAGAGGGTATTCTAAACATGGTAACCAATTTTAAAGTATTCAGTATTGCTTAAGATGGTATTAATCACAAGGCTCCTTATCAGCTGTGTGTGTGTGCATGTGTGTGTGTGTGTGTGTGTCTGTCTCTCTTTTTACTTGTTTTAACAATCTTTTTTACTTGCTAGTACTGGAAAAGGTGGGGGGAGAGATACTAATGCAATAAATATGAAAACTTGTTTTGTTTTTGCAAAATAGTTTTGATGGAAAATGATGCCATAACAGAGTTAGTAAATGAAACAGCTTGTTGAAATTTAGAAGTGATGATGCTATATGATAATTATCTCTTGCCATTTTTTCTGTGTAATGAAAGGACAGATGTTTGGTTTTGAGATTTTGTCATATGTGCCTGGATTTTTTAAATGCTTTGATTTGCTTGAAATATTCTTTTCTAGGTTTTGGACATAGTGAGGACAAGTGTTCGTGCTGTTCTGCAACGTGTCTGGAGGGTTTCTGACGTTGAATGTTTACATTTATACCGTATTTTTAACCGTGTGTTTAATCGCTTACTCTGGAGCCATGGCCAAGGCTTGTGGAACTGTTTCTGTAATTCAGGGTAGGCCCAATATATTTATTATTGTAATCCTTTTAATAATTTCACAGCTATAGTTAGAGCTAGCATAGTTTAATGTTTACTATCATTCAAGAAATTATTGTAATAAATAGAACTGTTTTTAAAACCATTAATCAAAAACGTACCATGTAATTACCTATTAACATAGGCCAAGCATTTCAATAATGAGTCCATACAGTTAGGATCTTAGATCCATCTGAAGGCATCTAAAGTAAATGATTTGATTTTTCAAGAATGCTGAGCATCCTGCAGCTCTCATTGAGAGACCCTTCTGGCTCAGCACTTTTGAAAATCAGGCCAACTACTTAAGCAACTGTGACGGGGTTCCCGGGGTGCTATCTGGATTGTGGGACCACCGAGCCTCAAAAACCCACCAGCCTGGGGTTTCCCTCACACTACAAAGCTCTTGCACTTACACAGACATCCACAGGCAGGGACACACCCAACTGAGTTACATGAATGCTTCTCCCAGCCACTCATGAACCATCAATAGAGAAGCTGCAGCCTTGCACCTCAGGACTGTACTCGGTGGCACTGGTCAGAAGACTGGCCAGTGTAAGCTCCTTACCTAGTTGGCCACTCTGACAAAAGGGTAGTGGCCGTGCAACAGCCCTTGATAATCTGAGCTGAGATTTCCCGAGCACTTCAACCAAAACATGCTGTCTTAGGTAAAATATAAAACAGATTTATTAATTACAGAAAGATCGATTTTAAGTGATTATAAATGGTAGGCATAAAGGTCAGAAATAGTTACCTTAAGAAATAAAAATAGAAACACACATTCTAAATCCTAAACTTTTAATCTAAGCAAGCGTTGAATCAAATAGCTTTTCTCACCCTGACAGATGGTGCAGGAGGTTACAGTTCCTCAATACACAGACTGGATCCTTTTATAGCCTGTGATCAAACTCTCCAGTTCAAATTCTTTGTCTTGCAGATGTGCTTCCAGATGTTGAGATGTGGTGGGAGAGAGGCCAAGTCATGATGTCACTTCCCCTCTCTTATACTTTCTTCCAGTTTGCTGGAAAAATCCTTGCTGTGAGGAGGGGATCAGGCAGTCGCCATTGGTCAAAGCAGTCTCCATTGCAAACATACCTTCTCTAAGGAATCTCTGGGATAGTGGATTATTTTATTGATGGGTGTTGATGAGTCATTAATGCTGTCTGACTATTGCTAGCTACTATTTTGTTGTAACTGAAAGGCTGGCTGTGGGTGTTCCCAACCTCACAACATATTTCAGTAACAGAGATAGCAATACTTCATAACTTCACATAGAATGATAGCACATACAATCCAACCGGATATTCATGTTCAACAGATCAAGACTTTTAAAATAATACCTCACAAGGTATACTTACAAAACATATAATTATATTACCATGGTGAATATGGGATTCCAGGGTACTACTTTGAGGTACAGAGAGTCACAGTGACTTAATCTTAATGTGAGTTGGCCACTCACAAAAATCATGGCCCTAACTGTTTGATCCCTAGTGTAAAAAAAAAAAAAGGAGAATCAAGTAAAGAGTCCTGCTGACATTTTATACCTCAAGTATTCAGCTTCTGTTGTGTGGTTTAGAAATACAGCAGAATTTCTGAATTGGACTATATTTGCTCTTCATTACATATCTGAAACAATGATGAGAATGTAAGCGTGTGAAAAGTAAGAAATTGTGACACTGATAGATAAGGAAATGGGTTTTTTTGGCTTGAAAAGGATGCTTACTGGAAAACAAGATGCCATATTTTTAAAATTAAATCAGCCCATTCCCCAGCCCTTTATGCTCATGCAATTGAAGTCAAGAGGACTATTCATGTGAGAAAGGTCTGCAGGATTAGATCCTATATATATATATATATGTATATATATATATATAAACAAAACAAAATATGGCAAAGATCCTTTTCATAGTCTTCCTTATGGGGGAAAAAATGTATGTACAAATATATACCATATCTGGAGAGCATATAAGTTTCTCTGTAAATATATAGAGTGAGGTGACTAATGGGATGTTTTTGATTAGCTTGCAAAAGAGGACTGAAAAAAGATTTATTGAAAATGAGCTTCAACAAATATACACATTATGATGATGGGTTTCATATGTACAAAAGGAAATAACTCATTTGTCACTTGTAGGGAATGCATGCACTACATTTACAAATGTAATAAGAAACCTTACCTGTGTTCAACACAATGATAGGAAAAGGGAGATGGAAAAATAGATTATTAAAAGCAACAGTCTCAGAGAGTGAGAGATCCTCTGCTGGCATAAATTGGCATAGCTCTATTGATTTCAATTGACTTTAATGGTTTGATGTCAATTTATACCAGCTGAGGATCTGACCCATAATATGATTGATTCTTTAAGTGCTTTCATATGTCCATTACACTGTAGGTGTGGGATCAAAACCTTAGCATTGTACCTAGTGGTACCTTTTTCCAGTCTTGTGAGGGCCTTTGGAGGAAAGGGAGCCTATACTAAGGTCCTCAGGGTTCAAACCTTGAATGCACTGCAGAGAGCCTATGTCTATGAGTGACCCTCATTCACACTGTCTGAAGTGCTTGGAATGAGGGTCATGTTACAGACAAGTGCTCCATTTGTCATGGTTTCAAAACCATGACAAAGAAGGTGCGGGAGGAGCGTCTCTGTTACATCCTTCTGGAGGCTGCCTTTAGACTGGCATCAGATCCCGCTCAGTCATCCAAGGGAAGTTCTTTGGTGGCTCTTTCCCAAAGTGCTCTGTTATCTTTCCCACAGACATTAGCAGGAGGAGATCCCCATCAACAGGGGGATGTCTTTTTCAAGATCAGGAACTTCAGAGTAGGTCAGGCCTCCAGAAACATAAGAAGTCGTCTGCATTGGGCTCTTTGAAGTCCAGAGTATGGGACTCCTCCACTGAAGGTAGATCAGAGTGAGGCATTTGGCTTGCCACTACCCAGTACTGGCTCATATAGACAGAGTTGAGCTGTTGATTTTGGTGCCCTCCCAGAGGCCATTGAGACTGGCTACCTCTTCAGCTGCAACACAGCAGTTATCTCTGAGTACTGCAAGACAGCAGCCTATGTCCCTTCTAACTATGCCAGAGGCCTATGCCACAATCAGGAACATGCTGTGCCTATCATGACCATGCCTTGCTTCAGGCTGAAGACCTTTGTCTGGCCCTGGTGCAGCTGCTGAGCTCATTGGCATTGGATCACTCTAGTCTGGGGCACCAGCTTTGGGTTTGGTACTAGCCCGTGCCTTCTCTCCAGAGCCAGTATCTGCTCCTCTACTCCAAATGGTATGGCAGCTAGGAAGCCAGCCATGCTTCCTCCAGGACTGTGTCCACAATGCAGATTGATATCTCAGTCAGTCCTCATTCCCAGGGTCATTCTCATGCTCATGTAAGTTCATGTTAGAATGATTGTAGGTTTTTAAGACGAGGTTAGACAATCTCCTGTAAGGAATGGTCTAGTTATTACTTAGTCCTGCCTTGAGTGCAGGAGACTGGACAAGATGACCTACTGAGGTCCCTTCCAATCCTACACTTCTATGATTCTATTATCCTTATAGCTTCAGTCTGGTTGAGACAAATCTGGTATTCAGACTTCCACAAAAACTGTCCACTTGGGAACCTTTGCTGTTATCGATAACTAGAGACCATATAATGCAGAGCTGTGGCCAGTCGCTGCACCTGAATCATCAAGTGCTGCACCTCATGGCATGGTTCATAAGTGGTTGAGTGCACATTGCTCAGTGGCAGTCCAGAAAGTGCTCCTTAACATCAGAAGACCTTCCATGAGATCTGCCTACCTGAGTAAGTGGATGTGTTTGTCTGTCTGGGAGGCCTCCCACAATGAATCTCCACCTCAAAACAGAATTGCTTGAATCTTAGCCTATCTTTTGCACTTTAAGGAATCAGGTCTAGCCCACAGCTCCATTAGGGTGTATCTGGTGGCCATCTCAGTGTTTCAACCTTGCATACATAAGATTATTTTCACTCACCCTATCTCAACCAGATCCCTGAAAGGTCTAGATAGTTTCCACGTAGGGTGTGTGCAGTTTTACCTGAAGTGAATAGTAGGGACACTGGGGGAGCGAAGTTTGGTGTGTCTGTGGTAGAGGTGGGCACATGGAATTTGGGGAAGAAGATACCTGTATGAAATGATTATTTCATTTAAAAGAAGATGCTGGTTTCCCTACTAAGGCAGAGTTAAAGTTGTGGTGCATTCTCTGTGGTGTATGGTGGTTGGGTGCTAGAGGTAAAATGTGTCTCTCTGGGCAAGGAATAGAGGATAGTTATTGTTAGTAGTTTTAACTCGTCATTCCCTTCCCGTCATTAGGTTTTGTGTTAGTTATATTAGGTGTATGTAGAATGACTTTAACAGATGCACAAAAAACACTTGTGTATTAATATATGGTATCTGTATGGTATAATCTAGACATAGCTAATTAATTAATGATACATTTGCTTTAATTACCTGCACAAAATCAAAAGGAGTACTAGAAAAGTGATAGTACCAGTTTGATTAAAAATCAAGTTTCAAATAAAGGCTCACACATGATTTAGAATATTGCATACTCCAGCATGGCCTTCCCTTGTTGTCTTCCTGTATCCCCTTTCCATGGTGGTGTGCCATGCCAAAAGCGAATTAGATATACCCCAAATTACCTCAGATTTTACTTGTCACATTTCCTGTTCATGCACTGATATAGCATCAGCCCTGAATTTTCATTAAGCCCAAACAGACATCCTATTTTATGACTCTTATTCAAAACCCCTATGTGGAGGATAAAATCCTGGCTCCATTGAAGTTTTTGGGAAAAAACTACCATTGACATCACTGAGGCCAAGACTTCACTCTGGATGCTTAGAACCTGGAGGAGGGATGCAAGGAACCCTCCCCCCACACCTCTCCGACACACATACTGTATGAAATGATTATTTCATTTAAAAAAAAAAATCAAACCCAAGCTTGCCAGCCATCTAAGCCATCATACAGGGCTTTCATTTTTTTATAGGGAAAGGGGTTTCAAGTACAAATTTTGCCTTTGGACACCCATATAGTTCTCTGTATTCATATCTGAATATTCATATAGTATTCATGTATGAATATTTGTCATATTCATATAGTAAGTTGTGAATAAACACAAATACTGAGTGAGCCCTGTGCACAGGACTAATTCCTCCTTACTGTGGTGAAATGCACCTAGTTAGACTAGCATGGTAGCCTTAAAATTCTGTGCACTGAAAAGCTGAAGGGACTAAACCATTTTGGAAATAAAATGTTAATGGAAACAAAAGTACCAGGTGTGTGGTTATTTCAGATGGAAAAAATTTACCAGACACAAACTGAAAGTTTTAATTATACTTCTCTGACTTGATAAAGAGCAGTCTCCCCCGCCCAGTTAGAGCAATGTGCTAATGTTCAAATGGTCTAGACCGAGAAACTCCCTTCCCATGACTTTTTGAATAGTTCTGGTAGAGAAATGAAATATGAAATGCTTCCATTTATCTATTTTTTGGAAATGTGAAACAGAGCACAGTATTTTGAACATTTATATTCAACCGTCATATGTATCATTTGTTATTCTCTTCATGCTTAATATCATGGACTCCTGAATATGACTAATTAATGAAAGTATTAGCATGCTATATAATTACTTTGGCAACACAGACTATTCAGATAGTAGCTTGTTAAAAATAAATCAGTATTTTGTGTGTCTCATGATGTAGAACACCATTTAAAATTACATGGCAGTAAATCTTTATGTGCTAAACCTAAACAATGGTCCTATAAATGCTTTAGGGGACATACTGAATGAAAAATGGGTTGTGATCATTTTGCAATATGAAGATTAATTTCTTAATTTGTATTTTATATTCCCACCATCTGTCAGTATATGGGTTAAATAGCATAGGCCTTTCCTGTAAACAGGCAAGGTCACACTTTATTTCTCTTACTCCTCCACTGCTAAATCTCATGTGCAGTAATAAAGCTTTTAGACTGCCATTTGTAACAGAAAACATGAGGTCATGTCTGTTTCCATGCCAACAGAAGTTCTTGGGAGACCATATTCAGTAAAAGGACAGAGGTGGTGACTCCTGAACAACTCCAGTGTTGTCAACGAATAGTACAGCTTTGTAAACACTGCCTGCTGGTGGCTTACAAATATTCAGCAGATTCAAGAGGATCTCTTACTGGAATTAGCCCTGACTGGGATGATACAAGGTATATACTTTCCTATTTCTAATTATGAGACATATTGGAATGTATGATCAGATTTTAAATTATATGCGTATACTTCCCTCTAGGCTAGTGGTCTCAACCTGCGGCCCATGGGCTGCTTGTGGCCCAGCCTGCACACAGCTACAGCCCATGTGACCTCCTCAGTGCCATACAAGTGTATATATATTGTGTGGATGTGGCCCATATAGCAAAGAGAGAGCTGCATATGCACCCACAATGGTAAACAGGTAGAGAACCACTGCTCTAGGCCTAGGAAAAAGCTACAAGAACTAGTTCACTGTCTGCAACATAAAGGATGAGCATTTCCTTCCAGCCCTACTTCCTGTAATTATGATTTCTATAGTGCGGTAGTGAACGCAACAAGAATTATCCTTGCTGGGTTAAGAGGAGATTTACCATACTCATTTTATTTGAAACTAACTTATTAAAAGTTTTGTTTGCTTAATGCCCCAATAGCCAGGGTAAGAAAGGCATTCTATACTTAACTGAATTGAAACTTGCCTTTCTTCCTTTTCTCAGATTCCTCAGAGTAATTGATTCCTGGTTTGCATTCCTAGGAGTGCCCTAACATGTATGACTCTGCTGGCTTCGCAACCACTATGGAATCCCCCAGGAGCATAGCTCTAGGCCATGGTCAGGTAAGTGCCATCTGACTTACTGTGTTGCACAGTTTTGCAAAGTTGACTTCTAAAAACTGCAGACATGAAAGTTTTTTCTTATTGTTTTTGCCAAAAGGTATAAACACTTTGTTAAAACCTTGCAAAACAGCACAATATAGTAAAAAAATATATTTTGGCACTTACCTGACTCTCCATGGGCAGGGTCAGTTCTTCAGCAGAGTTATAATATTGTCAGCATGCTGACTCTTACTGAAACATCACTAGGAGTGGGGAGCCAGTGATCTGTGACGTAAAGGTCCGGAAATGCAGAATTAAAGGTAAGTTTCAGATTTATGTTCTGAATGCTTCTCTTACCCTAGTAATTTGGATCATTCAGTACATAAACCTACAAATGGTTTGTTCATTTTAAAAGTCATGCAGTTCTCTGCAAGGGCAGTGTTTATTCCTTAAAATAGCTACTACTATGTCCTGTAGAAAATAAACTCAATATATATTATCAGTTAAACCTACTGTATGACTTAATTGCTTAAGCAATATGTCTTTAACTAGTTATTTGATATATTAAACTTTCTGCTATTGTCATGTGAATGTTTCAGGGGCTCTAACATAATTTAATACCAGCTGGAAACAGAAGTTGATTGTTCACAGCAAAAGTAGAGGTAATTTAGCCACAAAATGAACCATATGCAATATTCATATACAAATGAGCTTATAATAGTAGAGTGGTAAAATCCAAAAAAGATGAAACAAAGTAATTCTTACTGCCACTATTAATACAGGAGGTAATTTTTTTTCAATCAAAAACCAGCCATAACTGTTCAGACCAATCAAATCACTCTATTGTATTGCCTAGCTAACAGGCCTGCTTCTGTGACTATTGACGTCTCAATGGAAGTATAATCATGGATTTCAAATATGAGCAGAATCTGGCCCTCTGTTTTAGATAAGTGCATAGCAGTTACAAAATAGTAACTTTTATATCTGTAGCAGCATAGCTGTCAGGATAACTTTGATTAAAAGCTACAACCAGTCTGCATTTATCTCAAAAAACATTACATTTATACACTCCACTACACTACACTAACCAATATGTTCTGCATAAAGAAGGGGCTTCCTATTTTCTTTATGGGAAAGAAACCCTTTTATATCAGCTGAGTTTGCTTTTATTTGTCCAGCCAGCCCTAATATGTACAAGATAATAGTGACGTTATTTCCCTTAAGAGTAATCACTACACAATTTCACGTTGCACCTGGGTTTGTATTTTTAAGCTATCAAAGAAATTATATTAAAGGATTTTTACTTCTAATAATAATTTTTGTTGACTGTTACTGTGATATAGTATGAGTAAGACCCTGTAAACTGCAGCATATGGGCAGAGAGTCATTTAAAGCTATTTTTTTTTCATAACTCTGTAACGTTTCATTTGTATAGCTCTGTTGGGCTTTCTTGAGAGGGAAACTATTTTCGGGCTACGTTTATGTGCACTTTTTTGGCAGCTTTGTCAGATACATCTCCAGTTGCAATTGGCTATTTGTACGTATTTGGCACTTGACACATTACTGTATGTCTAATTCCCAGTGACACTGTTCCTGATGGAAAACCAGTCATTATTTTAACTTTATTGCATAGAACAAGCTCAAAAATTGTTAAACATATTTCAAAAATAATTTTCACTGTACAGTTTAGTGGTCCCAGAGCTCTGTTATCAGACATTATTGGGAATACCAAGGTAAATGATCAATTATGTTTTCTTCACAGACCTTCAAAATAAAAGTAAAAATGCTGTGAAAACACAGCCAGACTTCTTTTCCAGTCAGGATACTCAAATCTCGTAACACACGCTTTTTTAAAAAAAAGCCTCTGACCTTTTGAATCCTAACAACATTCACTTCTAAAAGAAACTTGAAGGAATGTGGTCATCCCCAACCCCTCTTCCCCCTGCTGGTTAGATCCTTAAACTTTTCCAAACAAGCATAGATGTCACATCTCAGACTTCATCAGAACTGCTCAGATGTTCTGTGAGATACTGAGCACCTCCACACAAAAGGTGCTTAGCCTCCCCTAAGATCAGGCCCTTTGTAGCAAATTGATTAGCCTTTGGCAATAATGGCCTTCCTCAGGGCTTAAACAAACCAAACATTTACACTTTCTCATAGAGCAGATATTTCCTATTAACAGTCATGACATTTCCCCTTTCCCTGTGATTAGTAGGATTAATCCTCAGAACTCTTTCAATGCACTTGCTCATCATTAATCAATATGATTCCCTAGAAGGATGCTACACTTTTTAAACAATACATTATATAATCTGTGGTGTATGTAATCTGTTCGGGCATTGCCCATCACTCATGAAATTTTGATTTAATGTGGATGTTTTGTATAGTTTTTTGTGCTCATCTAATGACTCCTCCAATTAATTATAAGAACTGGTAATAAGAAACAGATTTAAAAATGAATATTAAGCAACTGATGATGAATGAATGTTTGTAATGTTGTCTGAAATAGATCCTTAGCTAGTCTGATTTAAAAAAAAATAACCGAGTCACTGATTAATGATGAATTAGTAGATTGCAGAAATCTGGGGTGTTTGCATTACTTGGATAGTGGTGATGGCATGCCGATATTTAAAACAGCTAGGGATAGTCAAATGATTAGAGCAGAAAACGGGGGTTCAAAACTATATGTATTTTTTTGCCTGTCTTTGCCACTGAATTACTGTTTCACTTTTTATAGGTCAGTTAATCTCTTTAGGTCTCAGTTTTTAACCCATTTTTAATCTGGGAAAAATAATACTATTCTAATTGAGATCCTTGGGTGACAGGTTAGAAATAGCTTTGGATAAGTGACTGGTCTTCTTTCCCCTCCCCCACCCCCTTCACCCCCATAAAGGGCTGGCTATTGCAAGCATTTAACATCTTTACCATTAAGAAATCAGTGGCAAAATATATGACCCAAAGTAGGCTGCAGTTTTGCTATGGCTGTCTATAGGTTGTAATAATAAATAAATAATAATAATAAATAAATGTTTATTTATTAAACCATTTCCTTTGTTGTCTGAGGCAAAGGCCTGCCACACAGTACTCCATGTGTGAATGTACAAAAGTCTGACATACCAAGATTGTGAGGCACATGAATGACTAACTCCTTTGCCTTTGAATGTAATCTTTTCAGTTAAATTCCACTTTTTTAAAATCATTTTTAGGTATTTACTGCCAGGACCTTCACAGTTCATCATGAAAACATCCTCCAACTTTATCTGCACTTCATCCGGAATGCCTCGCTCTAACATTTTGTTTACACCCAGGTATAGCCACTTGTGAAACAAAGAGAAGGGTGCCATGCTTGATAAATAATGGCATTCCATTTTTCCAGTTTAAATTTGTGAGGGAGCTGAATATAAGCACTGTTATATATTTGCCACAGTACATAAAATAAAATTTAGCTGAAATCCTACTGTAAAAGCAGAGACTTTCTGGAAATGTAATAAACCTTGTTAAGTTGTTTACACAAATATGTGAATGTCTAGATCTTGCTAGGTTTATAAGTAATTCCTTCCTACTAGAAATGTTATTTTTGCTGCAATATATAAAATGGAATTAATCTTGGCGATCCTATTACAGTGTTAAATTTAGGTACAATATCTTTTAACTTGAAATATATTTATTGTAAATCATACTGTTTATTCTCTCCTAGATGATAAAAAGCCTGTTGTAGAACAGTAATAGTAATTAAATATAAGTAGTCTGATCATTTCTATAGCACATTTTAAAACATTGTAAAAGCAAGACCTAATATACAGACATATTTGTATTTCTCCTATGAAATTACAAGGTATGTGTAATAATGTTCCTTTTCAGTAAGGACATAAGTATCTTTTAGTCTAAATGAAGACAGTCCAGAGGGTAAATATACCAGTCCTGGCAAATAGCTTCTAGTTGGAACCTTGTAATAAATCAGAAGGTAACGGTTATTGTCAGATCTTCCTTCAACCTTCTTGTGTCTTGTGCCTTTCAGTTTCATGTGGGGTCAAGTAGTAACCTACAGCTCATAAAAGAGCCATGCATATTTTCTTCTGTTCTGCTGCACAAGTGGTGAAGCAGACATTTTTCAGAATTACTGCAGTTTCACAGTATCCTCTCTAAACTTTAAAATAGTACGTTTTGGTTTGGTTTTCACTGTAGGGTGCATTATATATTGTAGAATGTATACTCTAATGGACAGTATTTTCTAGACTTGCTGAAATCCTAAGAAAATGGTCGAAGATACAATTAATTAGATTTGTTACTCAAATTCAGCTTTGCAGACCTGGCTGAGTGACACAATAAGAATTTGATATGGCCATGAGCCAGATCCTGAAGGCAGAGGTGATCTGAAGTGTGATCTAGAAACATAATTTTAAGAGTCTCTCAGTATCCACGTTTGTCCCATTAATCCCTATACATCAGAGGTCCCCAAACTGTGGGGCATGCTCCCCTAGGGTGGGGCACCAAGGAACATTCAGAGAGGGGTGTGGCAGGCTGGGCCAGCTCCCACAGGGGGCAGGGAGGGAGGGTCACTGAGCCCCGTCCACAGCTCTACTCCAGCTGCGGCCCCAGCTCCTGGCCCCGTGCCTGATCCCGTCTACAGCCTTGGCACGGCTCCGCATCTGGCTGCAGGCTTAGCTTCGAGCCCCCACTGTGGCCTGGCTATGGCCCCGCTCCGAGTCCCGCCCCTGCCCCAGCCTTGGCCCCTGGCCCCATCCTCAGGCCCAGACCCACCCCCAGCTGCAGCCGCATCCTCGACCCCATACCCCTGTCGGCGTCCCCCTCCCTTAGCTATGGCTCCACTCCTGGCCATGGTTCCAGGGGGGTGCAGACAGAGACGGGGACACGACCCACAAAAGTTTGGGGACCACTGCTATACATGTACATCCTAAGAAGTAATTTTAAAAAATGAATCCAGTTTGTAACCAATTAACTGCCTTGTTCCTGTTTGGTGTCAAATGCCTGTTCACTCACTGGTGAAAGTGGTTTTACAAATTTCTTTTGTAGTTATTTTCCAGAGACAATGTAATAAATAGGGTGGAAGCCTAATGGCCCTTCTGCCAGAGCGTTACATGCCTTTTCCTACTCACCGACTGGGGACATAAAAATTTCTCTGGGATGGATTTTTGAAACCTTGGCCAGAGCCTACCAAATAGGGAATTTTGACACCTATGCTTTTGCCTGTCCAAGTTCCATACCTGTAGGATGACCATTCATAATAGTATGACTGTTCCCTAGATAAGTTTTTTAAAATGTATTATGCTTTTAAAATTTGACTCCGAGGCTGATCAGATACAGGCAGTCTGCTAGTCTGGTAGAATCTCTTCCTCTTCCATGTTAATGCTGGTTTACTCACACAGCATGCTACCATCAGTCCACTTGATGTATCACTGTGGGCTATACAGTGGTGACAGCTGATAATGCAAATTACATGTGATTACCTGTAAAACCTAACAAAATCTGTAAATCCGTCCCTCCAGGGAGTGCTAATGTACAGTAGTCTCCACAGTATTCTGCTTTTGGCCATGGGGAAAATTTGGATCAGTGTCCAAAGGTGCTGAGCAAGGGGACTGGGCTAATTCTGCCAGCAGTAGAATTTTTTAAAATAGGGCATTAAGTACAGATATGTAAACTAGGGAAATCAAGGATATGTATGGGATGTACACAAATGTATCAAGTGATTGGTTTAAGTTTTCAAAAATGGTTTTAGTTTCTGGCTGATGTTATTTCATTGTGTTCTTATTTCTGATGAGCCATGCTGGAGTGGTATTAATAGTTATAAAATCAATATTTCAACAGAATATAATAATCCTAAATACTTTTTAATCTCTTCCACGTGTACGGGCTGTCTACTCTATAGTTAAAGGGGACTGTGTCGGGGGATAGTTACAATCAGGTTCCATATGGTAGTATAAACCATCTCACCAGCCAGTGCATCAAATAAAGCTCCCAACAGCAGCAAAATTTCAGTTCCTTTCTTCAAGGATAGGGTTATGAGTCAAAACCAAGACAGTCTAACTTAAATCAAACAAGTAAACCACATCCTGCTGATTAGCCCATTTCAAAGTCCTTTCCCTTCACCCAGGGCCTCCTGCAGATCTCTGGGTAGCTGAGCTGCTTTCTGATCTTTTATCTGAGGAGGAGGTAATCTGCAGGCTATCACCTGATTCCTGACCTCAAACCCATCCCCTGATAGGCAGCTAATTAATCATAGGTGGAGCTAAGCCTATCCCCCTTAAAGGGCCATTCCAACCTGTGAACAGGACCACAACTATATTTCCAAATTGTATTAGAGTCTTAGACATGTTTTAACCAAAAGAGGGGGGACGTGGTTGTAATTGCACTAGAGATAGGCCATACATGTACAACGAATGACTAAAATAAGACTAGTTGTATATAACTTATAAGTTATCACAAAGAAAATGCCAAATGATATAAAAATAAGATTTTGCATAGCTTTAGCATATGAATTCTATATATTTTAGATTAATACAATGTTTCCAAGTGTGTGGATAGACCTCCACTATAGCCCTTAGGGAGGCTTCGGAAGGGAACCATTGCAGGCAGGGAAAACTGCATTAGCCTGGATCTATTCTAACTGGCATTGCAACTCTGAACAGATAATGAACAGCAGCAGCCCACATTCTTCTTCTTCTAAGTAAAAGTAGTCATTTTGCTCAGCCCACTGTGTGAGAGGGTTCACAGGATAAGATACGCTAATCACCACAAATAAACTGCAGATTTCATTTTTTGAAAGTCCTGGAGACAGCCACCTTGCTAAAACAATAAGTCCCTTGTTGAGGGACAGACTAAGCCTTTTGCTTTAGTAACTTTACAATCTTGAAAAACTGCTGATATTTAGACAAAATAATACCTCATGATACCAGAAGCAAAGTAGCACGCCTACTGACTAGCACCATAGTTAGGGATGACTGTGTGGACCTAATGGGGCCCTCTAGATTCGGATAAGCATCCAGGCTTCAGGACGGTGTTTCCTCACTCGTTCAGTCAGTGTACTTTACACGGTTGTGTCTGTGCTTTTGTACAGGGCTGTAGCTTACACTGTGAAAAAATATTATTGCAACTATTGATGCTACATCCCAGCACAGTGTGTGGGGCAGAAAATGTAGGATTTGTCCATTTCAGTGTTATAGCAGATGCTCAGGGACCCAGTGCCCTGCCATCCATTGGAAAACATAACTCATAACCATAGCCCCCGCCCACCCTGCCAAAATCTAGCCCATTATGTGGATTTTTGGACTGATAGGAGAGCAGATGTTTAAAAAGTCTGAAACTGTCTGCTTATTCTCTCTCTCTCCCGTTCCTCCTCCCCCTGACCCTTAGTTTACCAGAAAGCAGACACAATCCTCAGGTATCTGGAGGCTTGTAGCTGTCAGATACCTGGGGGCTGACTCTGCACATGTGTTTGGCTCCCATTCTAGACTATCACCGTTACATGTGCTCTCCGGCTTATTTGGAGAATTGTTCCTGGAAATAGCTTCCAAATATTGAAACCAATTTAGAAACTGGTTTGCTGTCTCTCATACTGTGTGCTAGTGTAAAAATGACTATACTTTAGGGCAGGATTGACACCTCTAGGACCACACTGAGAAATACCAATTACAAAAACTTAAGACTTCACACTTTATTTGTGATGACAGGCAATTCTTACCTTGTGAACATTTAGCCTGATGATACTTACTCTTACAGCCTTTACTGGGAGAAAATTCCCATTGAAGTCTGTAGGTGTTTTGTCTGTATGGATTGTAGAATTGGCTTCCAGGAGTGAGCAAAACAGGTGCAGTTTTCCTTAATGGAAAACCTACTGGTGCAAATATGTTAATAGTTTGAGTGTTCTAAATAAAGCACTAGGCCCACCCCGTAATTTTCCTCCCTAAAGAAAGTGCAATATAAAACTGCTTCTGCAATTCTTGGTCACAAGCTCAGGAGTCCAAATACAAAGGCAGAACAGCATAGAAGATACTATATTTTAAAGCATTACTTTTCCTAGGTAATGTAAGAAAAGTACCTAATAATGATACCCACTTGGTGGACTTTGGCCTTCAGGGTAAACTTCTGTTTGGAAATGAATTTCTTCTCTTCATTATAGAAAAATCAGTCTATGGTATGGCAGTTACTTTTCTGTGTAGGAAAATGTACTGCTAAAATCTGATGTATAAGTCAGACTGAATGATTTCTTAGGGACACGTCTTCACTACCCGCCGGATCGGCGGGTAGCAATCGATCTATTGGGGATCGACTTATCACGTCTAGTGAAGACGTGATAAAATCGATCCCCAATGGCTCTGCCGTCGACTCCGGAAATCCATCGCAGCAAGAGGCGGAAGCGGAGTCGACGGCGGCGCGGCAGCGGTCAACTCGCTGCCATCCTCACAGCCAGGTAAGTCGACCTAAAATACGCAACTTCAGCTACGCTATTCACGTAGCTGAAGTTGCGTATCTTAGGTCGACACCCCCCCCCCCCCCCCCCCGTAGTGTAGGCCTAGCCTTAGTCAGGACAAGGACTTCTAGGAAAGTTTTTGTTTTTGAATAATAAGGTACAGATTGAGTTTACGTTTTATCTCTCTTTCCATATCTTCTAAATGTAAAGGCTGAACTGTATTGGAGTTACATAACATCTAATTTAGGTATATCGTATGAAATATTGAAAAAGAGCTAACTTGGAGTTCTTGGATTTATTCCCATTTTCAG